TATATATATATATATATATATATATATATATACTTACAGATCCAGACAGACACGATGGTAATGGACATCCACCAGGACATTGTGGTTGTGAATAAAAAAAAGAGGAAAGCCGTTGTGGTGGATGTAGCAATACCAAGTGACCACAACATCAGGAAAAAGGAGCATGAGAAACTGGAGAAATACCAGGGCCTCAGAGAGGAACTGGAGAAGGCCTGGAAGGTGAAGACCACAGTGGTGCCTGTGGTCATCGGGGCCCTCGGGGCAGTCACCCCCAAACTGGAGCAGTGGCTCAAACAGATCCCAGGAACAACATCAGACATCTCAGTCCAGAAATGTGCAGTTCTAGGCACAGCCAAGATACTGGAGGAGAACCTGAAGCTCCCAGGCCTCTGGTAGAGGACCCGAGCTCAGAGGATGAAAGAGAGAGAGAGAGAGAGAGAGAGAGAGAGAGAGAGCTCATCAATTTATTACATATTAAATTAATGTTAAAGTGTGTTTAGAGATATAACTGAATTTTATTATGAAGAATGTCTGATGGATTCAGACTGAAGCTGAGCCATTAAGACCAGACGGAAACCAGATCAGAACGTTAATCAACCAGAACATGGCTGGTCCTGTGGGGCGCAGAGGGAGCTGACCTTTGACCTGGTGTGAGAGGTTCCAGCTGGACCATCCCGGGCAGGAGCGGAAACCAGCAGGAAATAGTTCCTTTGGCTGTTTTTAGACTTTCAGCTTGTCTGCAGGCGGCGGCTCCACATCCTGGAGATAAGGAACCTGACGGATGAGGCCTTCAGGTTCAGTGGGAAAAAGCAGCTATGGAGGAAGCAGCTGCAGACAGCAGCAGATCTCTGATAGGCTGTGAGTTATGGCCCGTTCCTGCTCTGCTCTGGCCCTCCTCCTCCTCTTCCTCCGCTCAGATAAACAACAACACATCTTCATCGCTCTGCTTCCCGTCGCCTTAATGGAGCCATCCATCACCGCTGCAGCCGCCCAGCAGGGGGCTCAGCAGCTTCTGCTCTCACAGATCTACATGAACCGGTCCGCGCACAGACCCCGAAGAGCCAGCTGATGACCTCTGACCACAGGGGCCGCTCCCTCTGGGGCCACAGGTCAGCTCACCTTCTGATCCAGAACCAGAAACAGAACCAGAACCAGAACCTGGACAGAATGATCCTTCTCCAAGTTCTTGGTGTCTGAGGTTGAAGAGTCGGTGAGTCAAATTCCTTCTCTTCATACCAAAGTGCAGCTGGTCCATTTGGACATGCTGCCTTCAGGAGCTAGCAGACAAACGGCCTCTGCCTACGTTACGCCCTAAAAAGGGCGTTCCCTAGTGTGTCACAACCTTTAACCTTAGCTTGGAGGGCATTTCCTAACATGTCATTTCCTTTAGCTTTAGCTTAGCAACTAGCTAAAAGAGACAGAAGGAAAACAGTTTTTTATTCTCAACACATTCTAGACCAGACCAGAAGAACTGAACAGGACCATACCGGACCGGACTTGGATCATGTGGTTCAGAGGAAATCATAACTGAAGATTAGAACTTAACAGAACTTTTATTTTGAAAGAGCTTCATGGATTCTACGCTCAGAAGAAGTTTGGACCCGTCCGTCTGTCGTCCCTAAGCAACTTTCAGATGTTTCAATGTTTAATTTCTGATTTAAATATTTTAACTGTGACCACCCCCATCGCCCCCCTGACCTCTGACCTCTTCCTTGTCTCTGCAGGAGCTGGTGCACCAGGACAGATTCTTCCATGAGAACTGCTTCAGGTGCTGCAGCTGCAACCGCTCTCTGGCGGCTGAGCCGTTCACCCAGCAGGGCGGCGCTCTGCTCTGCAGCTCCTGCTACTGCAGCCGCTACTCCTCCCGATGCGCCGCCTGCAGCCAGAGCGTTCAGCCAGGTGGGGGCGGGGCCTCCAGCCGGGTGGGGGCGGAGTCTGCAGCCCCGTGGGGGCGGGGCATGCAGCCAGGTGGGGTCCGGCTGACCTCATCAACAGAAGTTTTTATTTTGGCTTTATTCATGTCTGATTGATAAACTGGCCTCCGGCCACCAGGTGGCAGCAGTGCTGAAATTAAACAGGCAGCCTGCTGTGGCAGGATGACCTGGGTTCTGTTGGTTCTGTAGGGTTCTGGGCCCGGTCCAGGCGTGCTGGTGCTGGCCTCCTAAACTCAGAGGACCTGAAGTTTCAGCTGAGTCCGTTTCGTGTCCCGCTGTCCGTCCTAGCAGTCATAAAACCCAGTGATTAAAGGTTCTGGTTCTGGTTCTGGCTCCAGCGGCTGATGGACTCCAGAGGCTTCAGAGCGCCGTCGCATGCCGAGCTGCGGCTCTGCTTTCCCTCAGCCTGTCTGGCAGCCAGACCAGCAGTTTGTTCTGGTTCTGGTCCAATCGGAGCGGCGTCTGTCCCTCAGGGTCCCGGATGCTGGAGTACGACGGCGCGGCGTGGCACGAGGACTGCTTCCTGTGCAGCGGCTGCAGGAAGCCGATCGGATCCGAGGCCTTCGTCCCGGACAACAGGCGCTTCTACTGCCTGGCCTGCTACGAGCAGCAGGTGGCGCCGCGCTGCAGCCACTGCAGGAAGGTGAGGAAGAACCGGCCCAGCGCTTCGCTTTGGGCTGCAGCTATTCTGACGATTAATCGGAGACAAAAGGGCACATTTTTCATACAATATGAGAAATACATTAAAAGATGCAAATAAATAATTTAATTTCTTTTTTCAATACAAAAAAATCTACATCTAAAAGTCAAAACCAGCTTTCCTTCAGTGAGCGATTGCTAGCTGAATAAATCCTTCTAAAAGAAACGAAAAGCTTCAACACAGGGTTCGAGAGGAATTCTGGGTAAAACTGATGTACAAACATTTTGAATCTTAAAGGAAAAATGTTTATTGTTTTAACCGTGTTGAAAGTCCCGGTTTTCAGAGTCCGAATCCTGAACGAGTTTTTCACTCATCGGTTAATCAATTAACCAATTAGCTTCATGCTGTCTGGAACTGCCGACCCGGTTCCGACCTGGTCCTGACCTGGTTCCGACCCGGTTCTGCCCCGCTGCAGGCGCTGACTAAAGGCGGGCTGACGTACCGCGGCGAGGTGTGGCACCGGGACTGCTTCCTGTGCTGCGGCTGCGGCTCTGCTCTGGCCGGGCAGACCTTCACCTCGCAGGGCGAGCGGCCGTACTGCGTCAGATGCTTCAGCAGCCTTTACGCCAAGAAGTGCGCTGCGTGCAACACGCCCATCACAGGTGAGAAACGGGGCAGCGGGTTGGTTACCCGCCACAATAAAAGCCTGCAGGAAAAGTGAACCTGCAGGAAGAACAAGCAGAAATCATCATTAGGTTTTCATCTGGAGAATCAAATCTTCTCAGAAAGAATCTGATAATCAGAGAAAAGAGAAAGATGATCTCCTGGTGGATCAGTGATGGAAAGCTGCGTCCAGTAATATCACTAATAATTTAATTTTAATTTTTGTGGTTTTGGTAGCGTGACTTCCTGTCTGGTAATAAGACAAACAGCAAATAATTTTCAACTACATTTTATTCCAGCTTTGAAGCGGCTAGTAAATATAAAGCTATAGCTATAAATACTCAGTTATATTTGAATAAGTTTTTAGGGAATAAAACTTTTCGGAATTGTTTTGCTAAAACACACTTCTTACTTTTATTTGAGTAAAACTTCAGGATCCTCTTCCTGGATCAGTTTAACCATAACTTGTTATTTTTGTCAGTTTAATGGCGTCATAAATATTAAATCAGATGTTATGATTTAACCCTTTTACCAAATACTCCAAATTAAAGCTGAACTGGTTTATCCAGCAGCATCACAAGTTTAAACAAAGTGATATTAGTTGCAAGCGAACTGGATGACCTAGTTCTGATCCGGTTCTGACCCGGTTCTGCAGGCTTTGGCGATGGGAAGTACGTGTCGTTCGAGGAGCGCCAGTGGCACCAGCCGTGCTTTAAATGCTCCCGCTGCTCCGTGTCGCTGATCGGGTCCGGGTTCTTTCCCGACCGGGACCAGATCCTCTGCGCCGACTGCAACAGCGACGACTGAACACCAGAACCGGTTCCGAACAACAGAACTAGTACTGCTCATCGGATCATCACACCGCTTATGTTTGGCACAAATCATAAAAGGTTGAAACACGAAACCGTGTGTCTGGTTTTATTCGTTATTAGAACCGGGTCGGCCACTTGGTTTTGGTTCCGAAGGTCGATTATGGACCAGAACCTGATGCAGATAACCCGATTTCCTGCTGGATGAGTCGGGAAACGCTCAGGAGATTCTGGATTGTCGGCCCGGTTCTGATCCCAGCAGCTTCTGAGATTGAAATCAGATTTCTGAGATTAGAGCCACAGAACTTCCTGAGGCTCTAATCCGGGAATCTGGACTTGTTGATGAAAGTTTAATCTAATTATGTCGAGTTTAGGAGTCGAACTGACTGATCAGAACCTCCCGGTTCATGAATGTATCTTTGGGAAGATCAGAGGGAACCGCCCCTCCGTGATGTCATCAATGATGTCACCAGTGATGTAATCGTCTAAATATTTACAGATCAGAACCTCGGTGCTGGTCCTCTTTGATTGTGTTTATGTTGGACCGGGCCAGCTCCCTGTCAGATGTTCTGCTTAGAGTCCGGCTCTCATGCAGGACGTGAGACGGAACCGGAGGTCGGGCTCAGAGGTTCTGGAGGCTTCCTGCTGTGAACGGACTCTGATGGACTTTATAATCTGACTTGAGGTCAGTGCGGGGTCACGCGGCTGAGGGGTTCCCATGACTCCCCTCCAGTCTGGTTGACCTTCCTCTCCTGTTCCAGCGGCCCGCCAGGCCCCGCCCACTCACCAGCGGACCGGGATGAAGATGACCTTCATCTCCCTCAGGGCGGACGCAGCTGGCCTTCAGGTGCAGCTAGCCCTGCTAGCCCCGCCCCTCCAGGCAAACATTAATGACAAACATTAGCATGGAGGCTACTGGCTGCCACAGTCAAAAACAAACAGCAGTTTGGATTATTTAGCCTGTCAGAAACACATGGGCTTCAGGTTAAAGTCATATTTTCACCATGTTATCCTTTCATTTATAATTGTAACAGTTTCAAGATAAATATACTGCTCAGAAAAATAAAGGGAACATTTCACTTTAATTTTGTGTGTGGCTCCAAATCCAGGCCTCCACTGGTTAATAAATTTGATTTCCATTGATGATTTTTGTGTGATTTTGTTGTCAGCACATTCAACTTTGTACAGAACAAAGTATTCAATGAGAATATTTCATTCATTCAGATCTAGGATGTGTTATTTGAGTGTTCCCTTTATTTTTTGAGCAGCGTATTTCGTTCCAAACTACAGATTTAAATCGAAGCTAAAATATTTAATTTTAGCTTCAATAAATATTTATCTCCAAGCTAAATATTTAGCTTACTACCTAAATATTAATAAGCTCCCTGGTAAATATTTGGCCCAACTTTAGATGGCATCTAAAGTTAACGAGCTTCAATTCAACATTAGCTTCAGCTTGTTAATTTGCTCAGTATCTGAATATTTAGCTTGCCAACTAAATATCGCAAAATAACCAAATTATTCTAGTTCTTTTTTTACTTTACAAACTCTTCAGATCTGGATCCGTTAACACTGAAAGTTCGGTTCCTGTCATTCCGTCCTGTTTGTGTCTCTGGGCCCAAATGTTCGGAACCAGCTGTGCTGCAGTTGATTATTCAGTTATTTTTAGTCACCAGTGACCCGCTGCCCCTCCTGTGGGTCAGAACCACAGCTGTGGCTCACATAAACCGCCTGTGAGTTCTGGGTCATCCCAGCAGTTCCAGTTCGGTCCATTCCTCCCAGCGATTCAGGCCCGGTTTATCATTGGGTCAAACTTGCGTGAAGATATTCGGTGACATCATCCAGGAGGTTCTGGTTCTGACTGACTGGTTCACGAATAATTATTAACCTCTGAGATTGCTGAAGACACTGTTCACAGAGTCCTGTATCTAGCATCGCAGAAAGTTGAGTGGAAGGAAAAAGTGCAGCAGTACCAGGAAAAACAGCCACTATGAGCAGATTGTTAAGCAGAATTCATTCAGGAATCTGGAGCAACTTCAGCAGGAGTCAGAAAATCCAGGTCCACCAGGATCGGACCTTGGCTGAGGGCAACCAGAACCGGTCCAAAGTCACCTGGACATCCAGTGACACTTCCAGTCAGTGATAATCTGCTGGTTCTGGTCCACCGGGCTTCCTACCGTCTACCAGAACATTGTAGAGCTTCATGGAGACACTGGTCTCATTTTCCAGCTGGACTTGGTATCGACCCAGACTGACAAGAGTACCAGAACCTGGAGATTCTGTTCTGTGGATTCAGTTTTCATTGGTTTATCACAGAACTTTCTGAGATTTGCTGATTTGTTATTAAAGTCTGAATTTTCTAAGCTACCAGATCAGTGACATGCAGAGCCTCACCTGTCATCATGGAAAAATAATATATAATGATAAGATCATATTTTCACCATGTGGTTTGTATTATAAAGTACTTATTTTTCATTTAATTTAACCAATTTTGATTATTTTTTTTCTTCAAAATCACATAATTTTCGCAATTTCCCATTCAAATGCTCTTAAGCACAGCAGGTGAGGCAGCAGTGAGCCGAGCCTCACCTGGACTGATCAACCTCTGGCTCACTGGCTGCCTGCCACTCCATGCTCCTCCTGTCTGTACGTATAGGAGTTATTTCTTTATTTTAGTTAAATCTTAGAATTTAATTATTTCATTTTTATTTGCTTATTTTCTAGTTGATTTATAATTCGATTTTTTTGTTTAATTTTAGTTATTTAGAATAAGTTTTTGGCTAATAATTCACTTAATTAGTTCATTTCAGTTGGGGCGTAGGTGAGGAGCGATCAGAAACGGCAGAGAACAGGTTCGTTGTGAGGCAGACAGTTCTCTGGCCTCATGGCAGGGGGCGCTCATGATCCCAGACATTTGTCTTATGACTCCACGTCTGCAGAGTAAGAGACAGCGCGCTAGCCATACAGTACATCAGTCAAGCGTATATATTTATTTTCTCCTCTCTTCCGACGTCAACATGGATGACTACATTTCTACACCAAGAGTTTGAGAGACAAGAGACATGAAACGTAAGAAGAGACGCGAACATAGAATAACGCAGTAAGACCGGAGAACTTAATGTAAGCCCTGGGAGAAAACTACCGTGAGAGAGGCAGAGTGATTTACGGGAAAATAACAACACGGGAGTACGGCGAGGAAGAGGGCGTAAAAAACTGCAGTTTCCCGGCCAAAATGGGAGACTTGACAGGTATGATAGTGGCGTTGTTGTCACGGCAACGAGTCTGCGTGTAGCTTTACCGATAGAGTGGTTTTGAGTTGTACTTCAACGGTTTTCCCCTTTGCTGTGGCGCATAAATTATTAATACCTACACATAAAAATGTTGAGTTAATGGAATTATTCCACCGTGGCAATGGCTGGCATGTACAGGAAGTCTTTTGCTCTCTAGCGTTGTGGGCACGCGTGAAATTCCCGTATGTAAACATGCAGGGGGTCTGATTTGTAAATGTGATTATGATTACATCGGTGCCTCACCAGGTATGAACCTCACCGCACGTCACTGAACCAGAGGTAGAACCGACCTGAAGGTAAAGGCCTCTGGCGCCTCCTGCTGGCAGCTACAGGTAGTAGCAGGAACTACATCAGTCAGATATCCAACGTTGTTTAAAGTTTTATGAAGAAATACAAACGTTTCCGTTATGATTATAGTAAATAGTATTGGGGTATAAATAAAACCAGATTATTAGGAAAAGGCCTAACAGATTATTATTCAGACCTAAAATACATGCAGGAAACCCTGGTACCACGTAGTTTCTGACCCAGACTGGTTTCGACCCGACTCTACTCTCCACTCGGAACCAAATCACTGATCACATCTGAAAAAACTCGGTCATCTGGCGGGTGGGCCGGCTCGGCCCGGTGATGGACAGCAATTTCAGAAATCAAACATCAACGTTCCCAACATTTTATTGGTTTTCTGTAAAACAAGCAGCTGATAAAACAAAGAAAAACGTTGGTGGGAAACATGAGAGCTGAACAATAAATACAGGATGGTTCTGGTGGTTCTGGTCCGGACACAACCAGGACACCAGGTGGGAATGTTTCAAACTAAAGTCCAGTAACACGCTGGTCTGCAGAGGTTCTGGAGTGGCCCGGTCCATCAGGTGGAGTAATCCTGCAGAACAGAACAGAACCAGGTCAATGGAACCAGAACCCTACAGCGCCCCGCTGGCCCGTACAGCTGGTTCTGCTCTACTCACAGCTCTGGGTTTCTTGTTGACCTTCATGTCGAACCTGAAAACAACACAGAGTGGCCCGGTTAGTTCTGGACCAGAGGTTCTGATTCTGGATGGGAACGCAGAACCAGAAAGAAGTTTGGAATCCAAACGGGCCAAATAGAACCCTCAGAGTAAAACCAGCAATGAGTCGGTTCTGGAGTGAAACAAGACGCAGAGAAAGTTCTGATAGAACACAGGCATGCATCAGAACCGGGCCATGCATCAGAACCGGGCCATGCAGTAAGAATCTCACAAAACACCAAGTAGCAACAGCAGAGCAGGAAGTAGAAAAAGAGCAGGAAGTAGAAACAGCAGAGCAGGAAGTAGAAACAGCAGAGCAGGAAGTAGAAACAGCAGAGCAGGAAGTAGAAACAGCAGAGCAGGAAGTAG